GGACTTCTGCCTTCTCTGGTATGTCTATGTCAGACTTAGTTCAAAGCATTAGTAGAAATCTCTGTGCCAACTGCGATGGAAGCTCTTGTGGAGACAAAACTCAGTTTTTGGTAACTAGCACTGTTCAATTACAGCTACTTCTCTGAAAGCCACAGAAGCCAACCTGTACCAGATTATCAATTACACAACCGAGAGATGAACGGTTAGTAGCAACCGTTAGCTGTTTTCCATTAAAAATAACCTAGTTCTTGCCATAATGCCCCACTTGGACTGGCAGAACAAGCTGTACTTAATAGCAATATGGTCAGTGAACTTTCTTTTTAAGGCCCTAAAATTGGAGCTTGCGATAGACTTCCTTTATCCCTTTTCAGTGAAACTTGACTATATCCTTCCTATAATGGGTATAGGGATCTCTTTCTGTATGTCATTTTCAATTGGTTTTTCCCCCTCTGTTCCTCATGCCTAAGCAATGATTTCTTTCCCTTGTCTGCCTTCTTGTTTCATATTTTCTATGATACTTAGTGGGAATCAGTCCATCAGTCCTGGTATATGGTTTTCAGCTTTTGTGCTCTAGAAAATAAAGAATTCCAACTTTTTTTTTTTTTTTTTTTTTTGCACTTCCCCAAAATCTGTTTTTGGTAATGTACCTTTAATATCTCATTAACTTTTTAGAAAAATCTCACTTTTACCTCATAGAGGGAAATCTCTTTTTTGGCTTTATGCACAGATTTTAGTGCATCTTAAATTACAAGAGAAAAAAAAAAAATCCTGAGTGGTAGCAGAAGGTTATTCTTGGGCCCCACCACAGCTTAGAGCAGCACCATAGTGACAAATGTATCCTAGTAGCTTCTTTTTTCAGCTTTATATAGACTATTAAGTTTGACTGAAATGTGAGTACCATTCCAGACATCCATAGCCACTAGAGGAGAAGGTCTGTGTTTCTCCTCCTCTTAAACGCTCCTGAGAGAGGCCAGGCTGGCCTTTTTCCTGCTGTTTTCCTTCTGCACCTCTCTAGTGATTATGATTTGCAGTTGCTGTTTAGCAGGTGTCTGATAGAGTTGGAGAATTCAAAACATTCAGAAGGTGTTAGGGCAAGAAAAAGCACGTTTTCAGATCATCAAGGTTCTGCAGTGATGGAGCTCTGACCATTGTACATGATATACCCAAAAGGGAAGTTGGATATACGTGTACGTAATGGATATAACTTACACACAGGCATCCTAAAAACAGTATTTATGCTGCACCAGGAAAGAGAATTTGATTAGTATCTCTGTTTCAAAGTTTGTAGTTGGTTGTAAAATTGGCAAGACTTTTGAATAAAAGGAGGAGACTGTGGAGCTCCCAGGCGATGTGTAAGGCACTGTTAGCACTGCATCTGACCCATGCTAGTGATCCATAATTGTTGACATCTGTAGCAGGGCTTAAGAACATAATTTGATCTGATAATTTCAGGAAAGATGGAACATAATTATGCAAATAGTCCATTATTTTGAGTTGCCCTGTGCCTGTGAAAATAAGCATAGATGAGTCTTATTTTAAAATAAGCGTAATGAGCCTTTTTAAAATAAATGTTTCAATTCTGTAGAAGCTGGTGATAAATGACGTCTGGGAAGATTTCTTACTTGCCTTACTCTAAGTCCTGCTGCTGTTTGATCTCTGCAGACCTTAAGGAACACTATATCTCTATTGCTTGTTTTTCCTACAATAGTGAAGAGAGGGATACTGTACAGTTACTAGCAGAACTTCACGGACTGGGTTTGTGTTATGGTACACAAGCTATTTTTAGTCTCTTGTTGCCACATATGAAGCCTTTGAGGAATGTAAAGCACACTCAGCTGTCCAAGGTATTTATAAGGGAACTGAATTTGTCTTTGTCTTGAAGTTTTCTGAATAAACTCTGTAAACAATCAGCATTACAGACAATGCAAATAATGTCAGGTAACTGTACTGTTATCCCTTTATATTTCACTTTGCTTTTGTAATGTAGAGATTAAACTCACTTTCAATTATGTGATTACCTTGAAAGGCTTTAATTAACATAAATGTAATGACTGAGTGCTGTTTGACATCTGTAATTTTAAAACTTTCTGTCTGTTGGGAAAACAAATGTGTTTCCAAATTGACTTCTTGAGATGTTTTTACCTCTGACTGTGTCAAACTTTGTCCTCTAAACCTTTAATAGCACTGTGACTAACTTCTGCAATGATTTATGATCCTTAGAAATTCTGTAGCTCAGGTAAACTGTAAAGATAGTACAGCTGCTATTTGCTCCCGCAAGTCTGTTTAATTAGCAGTGTTATGCAGTTTACGTTGCATGGGAGTGTCTGTTCACAGCTTTTTGTGAATCATACTTTCTTTTAAGGTTGAGTCAAGAACACAGTTTATGAAGGTTTGGGGTTTGTTTTTTTTTTTTTAAAGGCTTTACTTTTATATTTGTCACAGTTGAGCAGAAGTTTAAACATATTTCTTGAATAAGGGAACTGAAAGCAGTTTCATAACTTGTGTGTTGTCCTAATCAGCCAAGTAACAGCTGCTTCTGAGAGAATATGGAAATCCTTCATAATATTGCCATTTGTCTTGCACATCGGAATAGAGCTGTTTTACGTATAGCTGGGTCACAAATGGTAATCTTGTTTGGGCTGGCATACTCTTCAATCTTTTTAGTACAGAACTGCTTGCTGTGGAAGTCAATGAAGCAGTAAATGAAGATACATTTGAATTAGATTTCCTGTATAACAGCCTATCTATAAATGCTTAGCACTTATAGGAGATGCACAGTTTTTCTAGGTCAAATGTGTAGTCTCCTGAACACTGTTTTAACAAAACGTTGCAGGGTAGTGCTTCAGCTTCATACATCCTCTGATTTTTGAACTGTAACTTCTGTACTTACAATGTCATACACAGAAAGGGATACAAAATACACTAACTGGTGGAAGATACCCCAACCCTGGAGTTTCTTCAGTAATTAGAGAACTGATGACTGCATAAATGGTCAATTGTTTGTCAGCCACTGGTCAAGCACTTCAGTAAAATATTTCTTTGTATGTGAGACAGATGTAGGTTGGTCTAGGAAAACAGAGATTCCATTTGAAAGTTGATTTAAACAGAATTGACTTAAATGTGGGAAGTCATCTGCTTTTTTTTTCTTGACACACATAATGTGTTTCCATCATGCTTTGTTTGGGATCTTTTGCAATGACAATTTGTTTGTTATAACTCACAGATTTTAATTGTTTTGAAGCCCTGTTTATCACTTGCATCAACATTACAACATTTGTAACTTAACATCATAACCACTTTTCTTCATGTTTTAATCTCAAACTTAAGCTCTCTGTGGTACTTTTCAGTGACTTTTCACAAAAAGTAACCCTGTTGTATTCTGCCTGCATCAGAAAGTACGGCATTTCCTGCTGGCTAGCTTACCAGTATGAAATGTTAAAAACACGGTTATTAAATGGAGGAAGAAGGTTCATATTTTCACACATGTGGGTGTTTGGTTTTGGGTTTTTTGAGGAAAGATAATCTTTAAACTGTTACCAGAATTTCAATTTTCATGAAAGTTAAATGTTTATTAAGCCTAAATGCATTTAAATCTCCATATAATTTACCTGG